ACAGCTCCTGAGATTCCTCAGAACAAACCCTGACGTTCCATGAGGCAAAGAGACATCAAAATCACTTTAATTACACCTGCACACAGCCAGAGGCAGGAAATAAAAGAGGCCAGCTTTTCAGTCATTTGGATTTAGGAAGGTAAATTTATGGAGATAACCCTGCAGGGTAGCAATACATAAAATAAGTTGGATTCTTGCGTGACACCGCTTCAAAATTTCTAACGCTGGCTCAGGAAAAAATGAGTATTTTTTGGTTTGGGATTCAAATATGTCATGAGGAGATTAATCTTAATATTTATAGATACACAAGAAAGTCAAAACTTGGAGTAGTTTAGGAACTTTTTTTGCATCTATTATTTTTGGCATCAGTTTTTCTATATTAAATAGAATTTTGATTCCCTCTTAACTGAAATAGGGTTCTCTGGCCTCTGTGATTTCTGGTGGAGTGGGCAGTGAAGAAAAGGAAGGAGGGAGTGTGGATGAGCCAAAAGTGTCACTGAAGAAATACTGAAGTCACAAAAATCTTCCTAATTACATGAAAAAATTGCCTGGACACACACGAAAAAATCTACTTTGCACTGATAGTGCTTTTCAATCACAGAAATCAGGATAAAATTCCTCAATAAAACCACTCTAATGCTGCTCATACAGTTCCTGCAATTAAAATCCAGTCCAACAGCTAAAAAAAAAATCTCCAATTCAAGCAAGACTTTGCAGAAGCTTGTAGCTGATCATATTGGCATTTCTATGTGCTAAAAATGTACATATTCTTTTACTTGTATAATTCATGAACTTGTTCTTTTTAATGATAACCTACTTTTTAGAGTTCTTGTCTTGTTTTGCTTCAGATTTCCTGCAAGGAATAAAGTTTCACTCTGTTCCACCTCCATCAAACACGGCAAGGACTGATCTTTGTCTTGTATTTCCCAGTAAAATCTGAAATTAATCCACTTTAATGAACTTTCTTCTCTCCATTTGTCCCACTTTGGTCCAAAATGTCACTTCTCAGGGGGAGAATTTTTAGGTCCTTTCTCACCCAAACCATTATGATTTTTTGTTTGGGTGGGAATCACAATGGTTTGGGTGGGAAGGGACCTTAAAGATGATCCAGTTCCACCCCCTGCCATGGGCAGGGACACCTTCCACTAGCCCAGGTTGCTCCAAGTCCTGTCCAACCTGGCCTTGGACACTTCCAGGGATGGGGCAGCCACAACTGGGTCTTCCATAACTAGAAATACTCTGAAGTGGTCAATTTTGAGAGTTAATTTACTAATTTGAGATGATTTGTAGTAACACCACTGAATTTACGAAGCAGAGATACAGAGAAATATAAAATACATTAAATATATAATTAAGAACCGTGGAAAGGGATAAGACAAGATAACACTCTACCTCCCTCCAAATTAGCTGGATGCTGCTGCTAATATTGCTACAGACAATGAAATCATGAATTTACCAGCTGAGCCACCCAATCCATGCACAAATTCCTGGCTGGGATCTTGAGCAGAGCCAAAGGAAACCACATCACCAAGGACTCAGAGTGTGCACAAAGGTGGCCACCACAGCTGAGAGGGAGGACATGCAGTGACCTTTGGAGCTGCTCCTGACCCAGGCCCATAATTCCATATTAAAAGAAAGATCCATCAAATCCCATGTGAGTTTTCCGAGGTGAAACCCCTCTCTGACAGGAATTCAAAACTCCATTTAATTCTGTAAAAACAAAGACACTCCAAAAGCTCCTGGACTGGGCTACCTGACCTTCCAGGTTCTCTTGCTAATTCCTGCATTCCAGGCTTTTCTCTCAGAATTTCAGCTATTTGATAACATTCATATTTATGGCATCTTTTTGACTTAAATTCCTGCTTGGAATGGGGTGTTGTCTCCTCTGCATCCATCCCTCCAGGCCAGGCACTGGAAATGCTGATTGGGGGTGACAGGATTTTTCTCTCACCTGCCCCAGCTTAACTCCCAAAATCAGCTTCCAAAGGAATGAGGATTGTGGAATGAAGGCAGCAAAAAAAACCCCCAAAACTAAAGCAGACTCAGAGGAACAGTTCGTGTTGCAGCACTAAATCAACCCCAAAACACCTCCAGCCAAAGAAAACACCCATTTCCATTTCTTTCTTCTCACTTCAACACTATTTAAAATGAGTAAAGATTTGAAAAATGCATTATTATGATGCATTTCTGCCTGTAAACTTCAGCCATTGGTTTTCTAGACATAGTTTAATCCAGCAGGTTTGTTTTTTTTCTTTCTTTCTTTCTTTCTTTCTTTTTTTTATTTTTCAGACTTAATTTCTAGCCTCTGGCATTGGAGTGATTCTCATCAACACATCTGGCAACTGGGCAGCCCTGAGAGGTGGGAAATTTTCTATTCCTTTGGATTTTGCTGATTTAGAGGCCTCTGTGATGCTTTAAATGTCCCCACTGGGAGCCTTTTTCGTGGCAGGTAGGAAAAACAAGGAAGGAAGAATTCAGGTTAGGGAGGTTTACACCAGGGGAAGGCAGAAGGGCTCAAAACTATTGAGATTCAGAGAGTTTTAACCTGTTTTTGCAGGGCTGTGACTACGAGGAAGAAAAGGAAGCGAGGCAGTCAGGGTGGGACTTCAAAAATTAAAAAAAAATAAAAAAAATGAAAAAATAATGAAAAAATATTTTCTAAAATTTAAAAAAAAAATTTAAAAATTAAAAATTAAAAAATAAAACAAGGAAGTGGCCTCAGCTTTCAGAAATTCTGTTTAAACAGAGAAGATTCACTGCAGCAAATACGAACTGGGACTTTCTACCACTAATTCATCATCATCATCATCACCACTAATTACTGCTGAAAAAAACACCACATCAGAGACTGAGCTGCCAGAAAAAATGGTCCTTTTCTTCTCTCTCAGAGAGGACACATCAAATAATTCCATGGTTTTAGACAAGTTACTCGTGGCTGGCTCTGCCTCCTCCGTTCCCAGTGTGCTCCCAAGTCAAAAGCCAAGTTGGTCCGTGATTTATTTGGGATTTAAAAGTGGCAGGGAATAGAGCTGCAATCCCAGACAGTTTCTAATCATTCAGAGGAGAAGTAACCTTAGACAGGCTCTTTTTCCCTGTAATTCCAAGGAATTTGGCTGAGATCCCTCTGGGTTACCTGGGAAGCAGCTGGAGAGGGGCAGGAGGTGCTTTCCAGGACAGGGCCTGACGTGCCGTGGAAAAACGTCTTCGGAGAGAAGCTTCTTCCTGGAAGAGAAAGGAGCCCAACTTTACACAGCAATTTAACAGTAAATGTGGAGATTTAAGTGGCTATGACAGCCCTTTCACGTGCTAAAATTCCAGAGCACGTGTATTGAGAGATTTTTGGGGAAATGGCAGAGGAATATTATAATTAAAAAGGTGCTGGATGTGATCCGTGGATGAAATTTTGGTCTGAAGTTTTGCTGCCTTTGAATAACGAAGATCTTGACCTCCAGTGAAGCTTCAGTGTCTTCACAGCAGTCAAAATAGTCTCTACAAAGGAGTCAAAAAGTCTCTGCAACTCCCTGAGAGGAGGGGGGAGCCAGGGGGGGTCGGGCTCTGCTCCCAAGGAACAAGGGACAGGAGGAGAGGGAACAGCCTCAAGCTGTGCCAGGGGAGGTTTCAGTTGGATATTAGGAATAATTTCTTCATAGAAAGGGTTGTGAGGTCTTGGAAGGGACTGCCCAGGGCAGGGGTGGAGTCCCCATCCCTGGAAGTGTTCAAAAAACACGTGGATGTGGCACTTGAGGAGGTGGTTTAGTGGTGGACACGACCTTGGAGATCTTTTCCAACCTCAGCAATTCTGTGATCCCAAGAGAACGTGGCAGGAAGAAAAACCTGCAGAAAACCACTTTTGATGCCTCCCAACTTCCCAGCACCACAGGTGCTTAAAAAAAAATTTAAATTACAGGGCAGAGTTATTAAATCCTGGCTCGTTATCAGCTGAGAGCCATTGATAGTTATCAATCAATAAATTGAGTCAATCAATAAATCAAGTCAATTAATTTCATCAATTGAATTAATTAATCATGTTTGTAACAGAGGTGAATGCTCACATTGTGATTATTGTGAATTCCTTCACTATTTATCCTAAGTAAGTCTCCCTTACTGAGCTTGTTTTTAATTTAACTTTTTTTTTGTTGTTAAATATATAATTCTGACCTTTTTTTTTTTTTTTTTTTGCTGGGTGGATTAAGGTAAGAACCTTCCTGTTCACACCTTGCACAGTTAATTACAGCCATTCAAAATTAGGGCAGGGTTGGCCTGCTCACAAGGGATGAACTGCAAGGAATCAGATCCCTGAGCAGCAGATCCTGCTTCTTATTTTGCTCTTGGATAACTCACGTGAATAACTCACATTAATTTCTTCAAATTTTTTATTTCCCAGTTGTTCAGGACGTGAATGTGGGCACTGCAGTGCCAGGACATTATTTGGGTGCCAAAACCAGCCTCAAATGTAAGAGTTTAGCCAAAATTTTACTTGAAAGGCTACAGATGTATTTATATTCTTCTCATTAAATATGGTCTAAGAGGCACCTGTGGTTCACCTTGAACATTTTATTGGGTCGACTCTAAAAAGCTTTTGCTTCCTGTAAAAAAATCTAATAAAAACTTTGTGCAGTAAACAACACAAAGGGATTACCAGCACTGAAAGGGGAGAATAGCAGAATAAAAAGAGCCTCGTGGCCACTAAGTTAAGTTAAACCTGAGGTAAATTATGGCCTCCTCCATCTTAAACCACTTGGCAAAATGTCAGATTTTGAAATAAAATAAAAATCAACGAGTTCTGGGGCCACCAAGGGAAGGGATAGTGTGGCTTCTCCCTCAGCTTCAACCAACAGAGCTTTGGATGGAGGGAAGGGGACAATGGACAACATTTGTGACAGGTTTTGAGTCGTTCACGGCGTGAAAAGAGACATTTCGGCTCAGAAAACCGAAAGATGGGAGTTTCCCCATTTCTGCCTCCCATGTCCCAGGCAGACCTTTCTCCATGGCTTTTTTAAAGCCTGGGAAAAGGGTGGGTGGAAAGGGGGGGGCTGTTACTCCACCTCCAGCATTAATCCTGCCCGTCAGAGGTGGTTATAAATTGGACAGCAAGTCATTGCTGCCAAGCAGAGTGACAGCAGAGCCCTGGAAGGGAATCAGCTTCAGAGCTTTCATTTTTCTTTTCCTCTTTCCTTTGTTGTTGTCATCTAAAAAAAGGAGCATTAGACACATCTGCTCCAGAGCCCTAACCCCCCCCTCTGCCTGCAAGGAGAAGGAATTCCTTTGGGGAAAGTGAGGAAAAGAGAGAGAGAGAGAGATGAAGCTGGAGTTGAAAGAGGTGATTTGAAACCCAAGCACTTCGGTGAGACTGATCATAGAATCACAGAGTTATGGAATCAGCCAGGTTGGAAAAGCCCTCTGAGATCATCCAGTCCAACCCTTGATCCAACCCCTCTGTGGTTCCCAGCCCATGGCACTGATGCCACATCCAGTCTGTCCTTAAACACCTCCAGGGATGGAGAATCCCCCACTTCCCTGGGCAGCCCATTCCAATGGCTGATCCTTCTCCGTGGAAAACATTCCTTCCTGATGTCCAACCTGCCCCTGCCCTGGCACAGTTTGAGGCCGTGCCCTCTTGTCCTGGTTGGAGACCTTGAAAACTCTACAGAAGCTGGACCTGTCCAGCAACAAGGTTATGAGGCTTGCAGGAACATGATCTGCTGGAGATAATCAACCTAGAGGATAACCAGGTACCACACTTCATATCCACCTCAGCTTCTTCTAAGAATGCAGAATATATTTATTTTTTTTTAATTAAATTCCTTTGAGAGACCAAAAAATCTCACAACACTGCAAGAAATGAATATTAGAATCATAGAAATCATAGAATCATAGAATCATAGAATCATTAACCCTCATTGTCCTACTGAATGCATCTATTTCCATGGAATAGGATCATTCCATATCTTGTAGAAGTGAGAGATGAAATTCAGCTCTGTTAGACCAGTAAATGAGTGGATGAAGTGAACTGGGATCAACAGGTTTATTCTGGTGTAAAATGGAGCAGAAGCTACACTTGTGCTCTTGTCTGATTCACCTGCCTCATTCCCAAGGGGCTGGAAGGACAGGACACAGGGAATGGCTTCCCACTGCCACAAGGCAGGGATAGATGGGATACTGGGAAGGAATTCCTGGCTGGGAAGATGAGGAGGCCTTGGCACAGGTTTCCCAGAGAAGCTGTGGCTGCCCCTGGATCCCTGGAAGTGTCCAAGGCCGGGTTGGAACAACCTGGGCTAGTGGAAGGTGTCCCTGCCCATGGCAGGGGGTGGCACTGGGTGGGCTTTAAGGTCCTTTCCAACCCAACCCATCCCATGACTCTGTGATTCCCATCAATCTGCCTTTAACTCCGGGAACCGGGAAATATTGTCGGAATGAAAGGCCGACGGAGAACAGGAGCCATTTTTCTCCGGAGAGAGTGAGAGGTTTGACTACAATGATCATTTCTGTCGAAGGTTCCAAGAAACATTCCTTACCACAGAGCCTGGAGGTGCAGCCTCCAGGTCCAAGAAGGCTCTGGGATATTTTTTGGTAGGAGAGTCCAAGAGGTCACTGACAGATGGAGAACGAATCACTCCACCTGGGGACAAGAGCTGAGTTCTTGAGCCTGGGGTGGAAAAGACACAAAGATTCACACAAAAAAGACACCAAAATATCGTGAATTTCCACCCCTGGAAGTGTCCAAGGCCAGGTTGGATGAGGCTTGGAGCAATCTGGGATAATGGGAGGTGTCCCTGCCCATGGCAGGATTTGGAATGAGACGGGATTTAAGGTCCCTGAATGTCAGTCATGTCCTCTGAGCTAATCACAGTCTAACTAATTAGAGGTTTTAACTTTCTAAGAGCTCTCAAAATGTCATGGGAAGTTGGAACAGGGCACCTTCTCACCTGTTATTTCCCTGAATTTCTGGGAACAGAGATCCAAGGACTTGCACCACTGGCATGAAACACCAATAAGACACAACCAACTCTGTTTTTAAAACCAAAACTATTCCAAATTGAAAAAAAAAAATCTTTAAGCTGGGATGTATCCTGTCTATAAAATGGTATCTAAATATTAAATTAAGCCATAGGAATGGTCTTATAAATATTGGGACATGGCAGTATGCAGGAATTCCTTCTATCAGGAAGGAATTCCTGGCTGGGAGGGTAGGGAGGCCCTGGCCAAGGTTGCCCAGAGAAGCTGTGGCTGCCCCTGGATCCCTGGAAATGTCCAAGGCCAGGCTGGAGGAACCTGGGATAGTGGAAGGTGTTGAGGTTGGAACTGGATGATCTTTAAGGCCCCTTCCATCCCAAACCATTCCATGATCTCCCATCTCTCCCAGCTCAGGGGTGTTTGTTCCTCAGCTCTAAGAATTCACTCTCAAACTGTTTTTTCCCTCTGGTGACAAATCCAGAGGAACTGGGGCCTGTTTGTTCTCCTGTTTGCACAGAGAGGATTTGATCCCTGGCTCTGCCCAGTGCAGGAGTTCCTTCCCTGCCAGGAGCAGAGATTCCATGGATTTATATTTCTCTCAGTGCCTGAGCAGTGCTGGGGGACATGTCAAGACAATAAACATGGTTTTAGTCATTTTGAGACCCAGCAAAGCCCAAAAGGCTTCAGAGAAGCCTTTCAAGATCTCCTGGGCTTGGACATCTGGAGATCCCAAGAGGGATTTTAAGCAACCTCTGGCCCCTTCTCTCTGTGCTGGGCAGCACCCAAGGGGCAAAGCTTGTTGCCCCACGGCAAAGGGAGTGGCACTGGATGGGCTTTAAGGTCCCTTCCATCCCAAACCACTCCATGATTTTACCGAAGCACCAAATTCCACGGATGAAAGCTGTTAATGCATTATCAGCTCTGAAAGGAATTCTACTTCTGCTATTAAAAGTTGTTTTTTTTTTCAAAGAAGAACTTATCTATTTCCTCCCAGTATTTTTACAGAAGCTCTTGCACAGCAGTTCATTACAAAAAAGAATTAACAACCCATCATAATCTCCCCCAACCAATCTTCCCCCTGCCACCGTCTGACTGAAAATGTCCACATTAAAACAACCTGGGGGCAAGTTTTTTGGCATAAATTATTTCCCACAGTCCATAAGAGGAGGGGATGTCTAGGAATAGGATAGTTAAACTTATTTAAACACCTCTAAATGAAGCTCCAAGTGAATTTAATGGCGTGTAGTAAATTTAAAAGTTACTTTATGGGCAGCAGAATTACCCAGATCTCGGGGTGTTAATGGGGTTTCTGTAACTGGTGACAAGTCAGAGCTGCTGAGGAAGACAAAGTCCTTTAAAAGCACTTCAGATAAATACACATATATTAAAAACCGCCAGGGTTATTTAAAAATATTTTCTCTTTAATCCTCCCCCTTCTTTCCTGATGATCCATTTAAGGTTTTGTTGCCTTTGGGCCAAAACAGAGTTTTTAAGGCAAGAAAGCACAATATTATAGCAAATAAAGCAAGGGAATCGTTCTCATTTTAAACCAACGTGGAAGTTCTGGAAATGAAAATAAAATCTACTTAGTTTAAGGTTAAATAAGACTCCTCAGAAAGATCCTCAGTACTGGAGCTCTGAGATGCCACCATAATGTGCAGCAGCTTTTTTTCCATGTCCCCGGGGAAATCAGGATTTATGAATCCTTTCAGGACACAAAAAAAGGACTTGAAATTAGGAGCTGATGAATTTTACACTCCCCTTCAGTGATATTTCCCTCCTTTCTTTCAGCTGCTTGGATTTGCAGCTTCCTGAGCCACACCAAGGTCCTGGATGTTGGCTCTGTGTTCCCAAAGGAACCTGATTCACTGCTCTGTTGCAATGGGTCTGACCAAGGCAGCCAAAAACCATGGAGACCCTTGGAATGAGAGGAAAGAGGCCCCAAAAATCAGCTTCTTTTCAGTCCATGTTGCACATCATCTTCCTGCCAAAATCTCTGCTCCTAATTTCTTTTTCCTGTGGTGTTTTAGAGCTCATATTCTGCTTTTATCCCAGCTTTGGGAGAAATTGTGTGGGAGAAATTCCAGCTGTGACAAGAGAAGTCTTCCTTTCTTCCTTCCTCCACTCTTCTCCCTCACCTTTCCCCCCTTGAGCCCTCCTTCTGCTGCTGCAGGGGGAGTTTGGTCAAGGAATTGGTCTCTCTGGAAGTTGTTGCTGGGAGTTTTGGGGGATTTTTTTGTTTGTTTGTTTTCCCCATATTAATATAGAAATGAGGAATGTTAATATACTAATGAGGCACTTGGATTGTTCAGCTGGAGAAGAGGAGATTGAGGGGAGACTCCTCAGGGTCTGCAGCTCCCTCAGGAGGGGCAGCTCCAATCCCTGATCCCTGTGACAGGACCCAAGGAGTGGCTGGAGCTGTGTCAGGGGAGGGTTAGGCTGGATTTTAGGGAAAGGTTCATCATCCAAAGTGTTGTGAGGGACTGAACAGGTTCCCCAGGGCAGTGGGCATGGCCCCAAGGCTGCCAGAGCTCCAGAGAGGGTTTGGACAATGCTCTGTGGGACAGGGGTGGGATTGTTGGGGTGTCTGTGCAGGGCCAGGAGCTGGACTGGATCCTTGTGGTCTCTTCCAGCTGAGGATATTCTGTGATTTTTTGGATGGAATCATTCCCTGATCCAGATTGCACAATCACAGGGATGAGAGCAAGCACTTGGATTAGCTGGAGGTGATCACGAGGCTTCTTTTAAACCCCCTGCAGATCATTTGGGTTTGTCCTGCAGCCCCAAAACCACTTGGAGTGAATTTATAAATTGTCTTCACTCATCTTACCATCCTGGTTTTCATGCTCTTTGGGATTCTTGCTATCCTGGGGAAGAGGGTAAGGGAAGGTCCCAGTGCCAGCCCATTTTCCTGTTGTTCAGCAGCTGGATGGACACAAAGCTCTCCACCATGGACATGGATCTCATTTGGGATGAATTTGGGAGCTCCTCAGCCCTAAACCATCCTCAGAAGAGTCAGGCAGCTCACTTGCTGCATCTTCTTGCCTCAGGGATGTAAATCCATCAAGGATTCAGATCCCAGGGAGGGATCAACCCATGGCAGAGGAGCACCAGGAGGTTTCAAGTCTCACAGGTCACTTCATTCACAGATTTCAATGCTTTTAACAACAAGTAGGAACATTCTGCTGATAAAACCAGGAGGAACATGTTTCCCAGACACAATACCTGCTCTGCTTCTGGTGTCCTGGATGTCATCAAAGGCTGCAGGGAGCTCCAAGTTCAGGAACATCTTCATGAGGAGACTCAGCTCCGTGAATGCCTCATTCAGGTCGTCTGCAGAAAGGGAAAGGATGTAAAATATAACCCAACCTTTCATCAGGACAAAGATACAAATCACAGAAGTTTGACACAGAAACACATTCTGAATTTACCCAGCTTTGGGAGAGAAAAAAACCCCTTCATCTCCATAAACAGCACATTCAAGAAAACAACCTCAAATTCATCTCAGGTTCTGCACTCACCTAAATATTTTCCTTCTGCAATTAGTGGTTTGTTTTGGTTTTTTTTTAATGCCATCTTTAAATTGTAAGCTCTGTGTGCCCTTGACAACAAGTACAAATATCATATTTTGTAGCACAGTCATGTATTTTACCAGCAGTGGGGGGGATCCCAAAAATCACCTCCCCAAAAGGGCAGGCGCAGAACGAACTGGAAAAGGATCCTTCTCTGTCACAAAAATCACCTCCAGGGATTAACTTACCCGTGTTGATGACTGCATCAAAGTACCCTGGGGAATCCTGGCTGATTTGGAGGTACATGTCCACTCTGGAAACTGCCTCTGCAATCTCTGGCCTGCTGAACAATCCTGTCCTCCTCAGATGTGTCTCGTATTTCTCCTTGTCCGTGGGCACCACCAGGACATACCTGGGTTTAAAGTAGGTGCACTTCAAGCTCCTCACACCCTTGGAAATTAAGCAGAGAAACACAGTGGTTTGGTCCTGAAACTGTTGAAGTGGGAGCTGAGTTTGGGACAGCTCTGTATTTATCCCAAATTCCTGGCTGGATAGGTTTTGGTGGCTCCAGGAGCGAAGGGAAAGCGCAGCAAACACGTTCCCCACCCCCCCCAAACCCTTCACTGACTGCAAGTGCAGCCTCAGCAAGATTTAACTTGGCAAATTTGTGTCACTCTCCTTTACCAGCCAGAGATAAACTCGAGATTAAGGGGAATGAGCAGCTCTAAATTTTCAGTCTCGGCCCACGGACCGTAATTAAAATTTCTTTCGGCGGCGCTCAATCACTTTGGTTCCGAGATAATGGACTCAGCAGCTTCTCCTCACACCCATAACTCACTGTTATTGTTTCTCAGCTGTGTAGCAGAGCCCAGGGTGATGCAAGACTCTGCATAATTCCTTGTGTGATCTAGAAACTTCCAGGACAAAGGAATTTTAGAGGGAGTAGCTTTGGCAATACCCAAAGTTATGGTCACTGGGCGAGCCCCTCTCATGAATAAACACAACATTCCATTAAATCCTCCCTCCTAAATTACTTGATAACACATCTCCTCCGTGTTATCAAGTCATCAGCTTTAAAAGGCACCCCATTCCATCATATTTAATCTCCTATTTTTCTTTCCCTTGGACGTTTAGGCTCTGTCTGGCAAGACAACAAAACACCCTCCCTGCCTGTCTCAGGCAGTGAATTCAAAGTGATTCACAGTCCTGTCAAAAACTGAGGGGGGGGAAAGGGAAATGGAAACACACAGGGATGAAGTTATTTATTTGCTGTTTAATATCAGCCAAGTAACAGGCACTTTGAGCCAGCATTAAACTGTTGATCATTTGAGCAAGGAGCTACTTATTTGGTTTATTTTTTCAGCCCTGACAAGGCTGCTGTTCTGGTGTTGGTACATTTATATGCAAAGCAGTGGATGTGCAGGGGTTTATTTGAGCCAAAGGGGGCTAAAATTGAACTAAAAACCAGTTTTCAATCATCCCTTTCTCCAACAAAACTATCACCCTGCAATTAATGAAATTTAATATCATTTTTTTGCTCAAGTCTCCCCCTAGTTGGGGATGCTCAGCTTAGGATCCTGTGTTAGCACTGCAGTCTCCTATATCTTTTTTTAAAAATCTCTATTATTTTTTCCAGTAGTACATTCCCTCAGGAAGGAGTCTCTCCTTCTGGAATCTCAGACAAGTCTCCCATTTCTGGGATCTCAAAGAGATGGAGCTTAAATTTGTGGAAAGGACTTCACATTTCTATGCAAAGCAGTGGATGTGCAGGGGTTTATTTGGGCCAAAGGAGGCTCAAACTCCTCCTGAACATTGAGGGATTGAATTAAAAAGTAGTTTTCAATCATTGCCTTCACCAATAAAATTATGACCCTGCAATTAATGAAATTTAATATCAATTTTTTGCTCAAGTCTTCCCCTAGTTGGGGATGCTCAGCTTAGGATCCTGTGTCAGCACTGCAGTCTCCTATAGCTCTTTTTTTTTTTAAATCTCTATTATTTTTTCCAGTCTCACATTCCAGGCCCTCAGGAATAAGTCTCTCCTTCTGGAATCTCAAACAAGTCTCTCATTTTTGAGATCTCAAAGAGATGGAGCTTAAATTTGTGGAAAGAACTTCACATTTCTATGCACAGCAGTGGATGTGCAGGGGTTTATTTGGGCCAAAGGAGGCTCAAACTCCTCCTGAACATTGAGGGATTGAATTAAAAAGTAGTTTTCAATCATTGCCTTCACCAATAAAATTATCACCCTGTAATTAATGAAATTTAATATCATTTTTTTGCTCAAGTTGGGGATGCTCAGCTTAGGATCCTGTGTTAGCACTGCAGTCTCCTATAGCTCTTTATTTTTTAAAATCTCTATTATTTTTTCCAGTCTCACATTCCAGGCCCTCAGGAATAAGTCTCTCCTTCTGGAATCTCAAAGAAGTCTCTCATTTCTGGGATCTCAAAGAGATGGAGCTTAAATTTGTGGAAAGGACTTTACATTTCTATGCACAGTAGTGGATGTGCACGAGTTTATTTGGGCCAAAGGGGGCTAAATTGAACTAAAAACTAGTTTTCCATCATCCCTTTCACCAACAAAATTATCACTCTGTAATTAATGAAATTTAATATCATTTTTTTTGCTCAAATTGGGGATGCTCAGCTTAGGATCCTGTGTTGGAACTGCACTCTCCTACATCTCTTTTTTTTTTTAAATCTCTATTATTTTTTCCAGTCTCACATTCCAGGCCCTCAGGAATGAGTCTCTCCTTCTGGAATCTCAAACAAGTCTCTCATTTTTGGGATCTCAAAGAGATGGAGCTTAATTTGTGGAAAGAATTCAGAAGGAAATGGCCTTTCCTTTTGTGTCACCTCAAACCTCAGCTAGTAAATGTTTGATCTAAGATAATGACAAGTACTTAATTAGAAAATTAGCTTAAAACTCGTGCTTTTGGGACTCCAAGAGAGAGGTTTTGACACTTTGTGACCCAGTTTCTTCCCCCCAGCAGGACTTCTGAGATGCTGCCACCTGTGCACGTGCACCTGACAAACCTCAGGGAGGGGAAAAACCTCCAAGAAATCAGGTTTTTTGACAGTTCTGCCCAAATTTTTGCCTCAGGCCTGAAGATCTGAAGCTTCAGCAGGGAAGATGATTTTCTTTCAGGGGGGATTTGCAGCTGTGCAGCTCTGGAATGAGGGGTGGAACGGGTGGAAAGCTGAGGATGCTGTGCTGGGAAGGGCTGGGGATGGGAGGAGATGGGAGGGGGAGATGGGGCTGCTGAGGATGGAAAAAAAACAGGCCAGAAATTTTAAGGAGAGCAGAAAAATCCATGGAATGATTAAGGTTGGAAAAGACCTCCAAGATCATGAAGTCCAGCCTGCCAAGGCCACCATTAAACCATGTCCCCGAGCGTGGATTTTAAATCCCTCCAGGGGGATTTAACACTCGACCGCCTTTTCCATGAGGAAATTTTTCCCTAATATCCAACCTAAACCTCCCCTGGCATGACATGAGGCTGTTTCCTCTTGTCCTGATCCTTATTCCCTGGGAGAAGACGCTGATCCCATAAAAATGGTGACACCTGAGGTCAATTCCTACCTCGATTTCCAAGTGAACGCAGGTCCCGAGCCCCTCCCTGGCAATGGATTCCAAAGTGTCTCTTCCCAATCCATAGTGGTGGTCACTGTATTTATAGGTTGTTAGAAACCTCCCCTGGAATTCAAAATAGCCAAGGGAAATATTTCAAGGGGAACAACTTCCTTAAATGAGAATAATCCCTCTGGGCTTTGCTTTGTCGCCCTACGAAGTTTCTTGGTGTTTAAAATCACCAAGAACGAGGCCAAGGAGAGCCCAAAATTTGCAGGGATGTGGGTTTGCACCTTGGCCATGGATAATAAAACCCCAGGATCCTGCTGATGGATCCCAGGATTCATGGGATATTCATGGATGCTGCAAAGAAAGCAAGATCCTTTTTTTTTGATATTCCTTTTTTTTGATATTCCTTTTTTTTGATATTCCATCAAACCACAGGAAACAGAAGATTCCAAAGAAAAGGAAGGACTGGAATTGGCCAGGACATTTCCAAGGTAAAAACCTCACAACTCTGGTTGTCTGGATGTCTGGAAAGATCTATAATTATTTACTTTTAAAATTAAACTCCTTGATTATTGTTATTAAGGATCAGAGCAGTTGTTTAAGGCTCTGTTGTCTCCCTTGTTGTGGCTTTTCAAGCCCAGGTTTCATAGCAAAAAAAAAAAGCATCAGAAAAGAGTAGCTGGAGGCACAAAACCTGCAGGAAAACAAAACAAAACAAAGTATTCCTTTAGGGGGAGTTTGTTAAACTTGCAAAGAATTCCCTGCAGGGTGGCTGGGAAATGTTGGAAAAAATAAAATAAAATAAAATAAAAAAGAATAAAAAACACAGCATGTATTTGCATCTGGAATGGAACCCACAGACCCAAACTTCAGATAAAAAATAAAATAAATCAGCCCTGGGCAACTCTGGGAGAGGAAAATGAGCTCCAAGGATATGAGGCAGGTACTTACTGATTCCACCATTTCCTTAAATGCTTCTTGAGAGATGAAATAATAATCCAGCCTGTTTTCTTCCCCAAAATAAGGTCTCCTGGTGGTGTGACAGGGACTGGAAAATATATGGGATAATAAAGAAATAACCTGTTTTCCATCACAGAAGCAGCTGTGGAATATGGGAAAGGGGTGGGGGAAGGAGGATCCCATAATTCATTTTGTTTGTAAGAGGCCAAGAAATATGAGAAATAGAGGTGCAAATCAACCCACTAATGCTGCATGTTTGAAGGATTAACCCATAAATACAAAAATAAAAACAAAAAAAAAGGAAAGAGTTTAAATATAACATTATATTTGGGTTATAAATTCCTCCCCCCCCCCAGCCCAGCAAGGCCTGAACTGGAGCTGTCACAGGAACCCTGGGAACAGAGAAATGATGAATCCAATTTTTTTCCCCAGCTCTGGGGGGTTTGGGGATGATATAAAAGACAAATCCTAAATATGGAAAAGCAGAGCAAGACTTGGGCTGAACTGGGAGGTTAAAAACCCAAATATAAACCCCAATTTTTAGGCAGATCCTCGAAGAGTAAGGGGAGGAACAATCCTGAAATCAGGGGGGATTAAGTGGGAAATAATTACCCACAGGATAAAGCTCAGCTCCATGAGCTTCCTACCAGGATGGACCACTAAAAAAACCACCCAAAATCACCCCCCAAAATCAGCCAAGTGAATACAGGGAGCAATTTTAGACTCAGGTGTTCAGTGTCTCATTCAGAAATGATCTTTTAGGTCACTTCTCTTTGGCAATGATATTTTACTCCTTCAAGAAACCATCAAGAAATTCAGTGTACAAGGCAGAGCTTGACAGATCTTTGCTGTGATAACCTTAGAAGGTGCCACTTCTTTTTCCTTTTTTTCTTTTTTTTTCAATCAGCACATGAGAACAGGGAGTTCCACACAGGACTCTGGAAAATTCCCCCTTTTCAAAGGCCTGATTTTCCCCTAAGATAACGTGAACACATCCAGCTTTAAAGGTCACTGCTGAGCACCAGCCAGATGGTTGGAGGGTCCAATTTCTTTTTTTTAAAACACTTTTTTTCTACATTACAACCCCTTTTTTTTTTTTTTTTAATTGCAAGGCCATGTTTACATTCCAACTGCCAGGGTGTCTTGCATGAAATACATTTTTAATGAGAGGAATGTTTGAAATGGAGAAGTGCAAGCCATAAAATTGCTTTAAATCTCCCCTGAATAATTAAAATACAACTCTGCTTTATGGTTGCAATTTTCTGCTCTGTTAAGATTCTGTCTTTCTCTTTTTTTTTTTTTTTTAATTTTATTTTTTTTATTTTCCCCCTCGTGCATGGAAGTTTTAGGAAATAAAACACAGACAAGCATAAAAAGAATGCTCTTTAAAAAAACACACACAAGCACTTGGAAAATTTCAGTTGGCATCCGATTCATTTGTAATTTCCAGCAGGAAAAAAACACAGGAGTTGCTTTAAAGAAAGGAAAAAAAAAAAAAGATAGTTTTACAGTCACACAACCTCTTTCCTTAAGAAGCCTGGTTAAAAATGAATGGATAAATTAGGACAATAAAAAGAAATTGGGAATATATAGAAGAGAGACAATATCCCTGGAATAGAGAGCAGGGAGTGCTACAGGACCTAGGAAAAGTCAGGAACTGGGAAGAATGGAATGAGTGGACAAGAGGAACATCTTGCACTGCCTCATTTTAGGCCTCAAATTATCAAAATCATCAATTTTTCAGTTTTAGGCATCCAGGCTGGAATTCCCTTGGAAAAGGAGAAGTTTCCAGGGAGCCCAAGGCTCATAATTGGGCTGGGTTAGGAACGGGCTGAGGGCCCAGAGAGTGGTGGGGATGGAGCTGCTTCCAGCTGGGATCCGTCCCCAGGGGTGTCCCCAGGGATCAGTGCTGGGCCCAGTCCTGTTTAATGTCTTTATTGATGATTTAGATGAGGGGATGGAGGGAACCATCAGCACATTCCAGGTGACCCCAAGCTGGGGGAGTGTTGATGTGCTGGAAGGCAGGAGGGCTCTGCAGAGGGCCCTGGCCAGGCTGGATCCATGGGCTGGTTGCAAGGGGCTGAGGTTCCCCAAGGCCAAGGGCCGGGTCCTGCCCTTGGGCCACAAGAAGCCCCTGCAGCTGCAGGCTGGGCCAGAGGGGCTGGAGAGCAGCCAGGCAGGAAGGGAGCTGGGAGTTGGGCTGGGCAGGGAGCTGAAGAGGAGCCCGAGGGTGGCCAGGGGGGCAAGAGGGCCAAGGGCTGCTGGGCTGGCTGAGGAAGAGTGTGGCAGCAGGAGCAGGGCAGGGCTTGTGCCCCTGGGCTGGGCGCTGGGGAGGCCACCCCTGGAGTGCTGTGTCCAGCTCTGGGCCCTGAGCTCAGGAAGGCCCTGGAGGGGCTGGAGCAGGGGCAGAGAAGAGCAGCCAGGCTGGGGAAGGGACTGGAGCCCAAGTGCTGGGAGGAGAGGCTGAGGGAGCTGGGGGGGCTCAGCCTGGAGAGGAGGAGGCTCAGGGGAGACCTCCTCACTCTCTGCAACTCCCTGCCAGGAGGGGGGAGCCGGGGGGGGTTGGGCTCTTTTCCCAGGCAACCATCAGCAAGACAAGAGGGCTCGGTCTTCAGCTGTGCCAGGGGAGGTTTAGGTTGGATATCAGGAAGAATTTCTTTGCAGAGAGGGTGCTCAGCCATTGGAATGGGCTGCCCAGGGAAGTGGGGGATTCTCCATCCCTGGAGGTGTTTAAGGACAGACTGGATGTGGCATCAGTGCCATGGGCTGGGAACCACGGCGGGGTTGGATCAAGGGTTGGACTTGGTGATCTGGGAGGTCCCTTCCAACCCAGCTGATTCTATGAGTCTATGAATTCAGGGCAAATTAGTGGTTTCCAGGAGGTGGGGGAGTCTGGAAGGTGCTTTTTCTTTAATAAAACTCTACTCACAGGCCAATAAACTCATCCAGCAGCTGCATTTCCTCCCTTTCCCGGATTTTGGGTGCATTTTGATGTTTTATATGCAGGCACATCCCCAAAATTAAGAGAAATGCACCCAGATCCAACCAGCTGCTCAGTCTGAGGGGCACCAGCGAGCACAGAGGGAAAAGCTCAATAAAAGGAGCACTAAAAGCCACATTTTTATTTTTATGGGGTTTTTTTGTCTGCTGTTCACCTCTGAAAACACCAGGATAATTTAACTTTTTTTTTTCTAGGAAGTATTTGATGACTTCAGGCAACAGAGCCTCGGGAAGAGCTAAAAACACATCACAACAAACATTTATTGTCGGTTTTAACTTGTTTAGATGGAAAAAAAAAAGAACCCAAGCCAGCAGCAATTCCAGCCTGGAGTTCTTTGGAATTCTTTTGGTGTTCTTTGGAATTTTTGGGGGCGAACTCACCCGAATCTGAAGAAATTGTTGAACTGCCTGCAGATCTTATGAGTGAGTTCCCTCTTCCCACAGGACACGGGGCCCACCAACACCAGCATGGGGTAGGAAGAGTCCAGGCCAGGCAAAGTGCTCCGAGAAAGGAAAATAAAGAGCCATTTAATCACCTGCAAACAACTCCAATCAGGGCTCTTTGAGGTGCCCTAAACATAAAAACAGCACCAAAAAACCCCCCCTGTGTTAAAAACCCCCGGGTGTCTTTTGCCAAAGGAATAATGTCATATTTAGGATCATTTCTTCCCATTCCCAGCTTTTTTTTTAAAGCTCCCTCTGCAGTTCTGGGGTTTGTTGAAGAGTTTTTTTCCCAGGCCTGTTGCAGGTGTGGAATATTTTAATGATCACAAAAAATCGGGCTCTTTGAGATGCCCTAAAGGTAAAAATGGCACCAAAAAAAACCTCCCCTTGAGTTAAAACCCCCCGGGTGTCTTTTGCCAAAGGAATAATGTCATATTTAGGATCATTTCTTCATTTAGGATCATTTCTTCCCATTCACAGCTTTTTTTTCTAAAGCACCCTCTGCAGTTCTGGGGTTTGTTGAAGAGTTTTATCCCAGGCTTGTTGCAGGTGTGGAATATTTTAATGATCACAAAAAATCAGGGCTCTTTGAGGTGCCCTAAACATAAAAAAGGCACCAAAAAACCCCTCCCTTGATTAAAGATCCCCCGGGTGTCTTTTGCCAAAGGAATAATGTCACATTTAGGATCATTTCTTCATTTAGGATCATTTCTTCCCATTCCCAGCTTTTTTTTCCTAAAGCTCCCTCTGCAGTTCTGGGGTTTGTTGAAGAGTTTTATCCCAGGCTTGTTGCAGGTGTGGAATATTTCAATGATTACAAAAAATCAGGGCTCTTTGAGATGCCCTAAAGGTAAAAATGGCACCAAAAAAACCCTCCCTTGATTAAAGATCCCCCGGGTGTCTTTTGTCAAAGGAATAATGTCACATTTAGGATCATTTCTTCCCATTCACAGCTTTTTTTTCTAAAGCTCCCTATGCAGTTCTAGGGTTTGCTGAAGAGTTTTTTCCCAGGCTTGTTGCAGGTGTGGAATATTTTAATGATCACAAAAAATCAGGGCTCTTTGAGGTGCCCTAAAGGCAAAAACAGTACCAAAAAACTCCCCTCCCTGCACTAAAAACCCTCTTTTGCCAAAGGAATAATGTCATATTTAGGATCATTTCTTCATTTAGGATCATTTCTTCATTTAGGATCATTTCTTCCCATTCCCAGCTTTTTTTTCCTAAAGCTCCCTCTGCAGTTCTGGGGTTTGTTGAAGAGTTTTTTTCCCAGGCTTGTTGCAGGTGTGGAATATTTTAATGATCAGGATAACGAACCTGGATTTAATCTGGATTTAATCCTCCAGCCCTTTCCCCCTCTCCTGGATGAATCCTGGTGACTCTGCCCCGGGAAGGTGGTGATTTATAAAGAATTCTTCAATTCAGCCACTTAAAGATCCTTCAAACTCCCCTGAACACAAATAACACCCCAAGAAAAGAACCCAAGAAAAGCTCTTTGTTTTCTCCACGCTGAGCAGAGGTTTAGATCCCTAAATTCCCCCACTTCCAGCTAAAAACAAGAGAATGAAGAGTATTTCTGCCCTTTGGAGTGTCCAGCAATTTATCTAAAAATAGAGTTGAAATCACTCCAAACCCACTTGTTTTTAATCAATAAATTCATTTATTAATAAATAATTAATGAATTAATTTTAAGGGGGCAGAAAACTACCTATGTGCCCATTTAATATGATTTACCTGAAAACAGAGTTTATTTCTTTTAACCATTCTTCTTACAAATAGTGTAAGAGTAATGAGAACCATCCAACAGAAGCATGGAGGGAAAAGATTCCAAAATAATGGCTTTACTCCTATTTTAGGATGAGCAAACCAGCTCTGTCATCTACCAGACTATGTGGATACAATGGATATTATACTACCCATACTATGGATATAATATGTAGGGATATAATTAGCAAAAATATATATTATATATGGATATAATTAGCACATAAAGCTTATTATAACAATACATTTCAAATGCTGGAGAAGGAAAAAAAA